CATCCGTGACCTGGTTAATAAACTGCGGGAAATTTAAGTTTGTGGGGTTGAAGGACTGAAAATTATTTTGGTTAATACCGTCCCTAAGGTCTTTTAAGGGTGCGAATTTGAAGTCGCTTGAATGTTTTTATTTTCGCTATTTTTTAGAAAGTAGGGCGAAAAATTCTGGCGCTCCTTGCACTCGTCGGCGACCTCGGGGAATGATCGGCGTATGTTTTCGTCGTTGTTCGAGGAAACGAAGGATTCCTAGCGGCAACCGCCTCATCCGGGTGGTTTGTTGGATACATTTTCGAAACGTCGATGAATATTTTTCTAAACATCGGTGATATTTAATGTAGGAACGTAGCGGTCGGTCGCGCTCGTGGTAGCATCGTTGTGGGTGTCGCTGATACAATTCTGACAGCAATTGCAATATCTGTGGGGGCAATATTAGAAAGATCGGTGTTTGGCGAATTTTGTATTTTATATTCCTATTTTACGGCGGATATCCAAAACATAAGCGAAGATGAGAGGGCGTTTCTACTTTCTATTCTTTAATGTACTGGATGTTTAGACTCGAATAGGTCATATTCCAAGGGTAGCTTCCTTGGGCGAAAATAAACCGATTTAGATCAAATTACCACGCTACAAATTTGTTCTTTAAAATCTTACGTGCCGTTTAAAGAAAATAATTAAATAATTATTTAAAATGAATTAAAACACTAGTAAGTAATTGCGCAAAAAAAGTTTGAAAATTGCAAACAGCGTAGGGAAAGTATACTTTTCTCACGCTAATCATAAGAGTATTTTATCGTCGGTCAATCATTTTGCTCAAAAGATTGCGTCAATCGATTGAGTCAAACATAACCCATTTGACGCTTAAGCCAATCATTGGCAGTGATTGACGGAAAGAAACGCACAATTTCACGATTTACACAGAAACTTAGTGGAGTTTAACTCAGTCATAGTGGCGAATGAGTTTCGATCAAAAGTTTGGCGGGTTGATTGAAGCGCACTTCATGCTTTTGCAGAGGTAGAAAAAGTCTAATAACAAATCACTTTTCGCACTCGCGTGACTTTGTCAGACTATCCCACTCGTTTAAAAATGCTATTTTCGAACTAATTGGACAATATGCTAGTATGCCAGTATGCATCACTGGGTTCCAGACTATTACGTCACAAAACAGTATTCCTTCAAGGCAATGCCTCCGTGACTGTAACTTCTCTCCTTGGCTCCTTCTGACTTTTTTAATTTAGAAATTGAAGAAACATTTCAGGGGATGTTATTTTGGAATAAAATATGCACGGCAGGTGGCGCAGGTGAGCTAAGGGAGATCGTGATGAAAAAAAATCGTGTTTTGTTTCATTGTTAGGGAGAAAACTTTTTTAATACGCCTCGTACTTTTTATCAAGACAGCAGACGATAGACGGTCTTGTCACAGGTTTCTTAAATACACAGCCCAATTTTCGGTATGGAATTGGCCTTATTCATATTCTCAGTATATGCATATGAGCTGAATGATTAATAAGAAAATCATTTACATAATAAAGTTATCAATTATTGTTTGACCTTCTCAATAAATTTTAAAATATGTACTTCGCAGAAATATGTTGACACGAATTTTAAAATTGTTTCTAACAATGTTTAGCTTTAAAAAATCTGTAATCAATTCTTGTTAAATTAGGCATTTAATAACAATTCTCAATACGTAAATTTATCATACGGAAAATATGATTCTGGATGGTAACTATATTCATCGAGCGAAATTTATCACTATACAATACAGAGCCGTAATTATTAAAATGTACGAGTACCCAAGCATGCGTTACAACAAGGATGCACAATGTATGTACATGTAACACTATAGTAATAATTTACTACAATTTTTGTATTTTCCTACTATATATGTGAAAGTAAGGATTGTTACGGTTACTTTGATAGCAATATTCTACTCAATACCTTAATACTGCAGTACTGAGTAGTATCATATTGAGAGTGTCAATCCAGATGGAATGAAAATATGATACAGATTACTGTTGGGTGTATATGAAAAAGAAAAAGAGAAACCCTCAGAGAAGTCCCTTAGTGTCATAACTGAGGTGATTTTCTCGACTCATTCATATTCAGATATTTCAAGTATACCATGGTTGGAGAAAGACTTCTCTAGGGCTTATCATTAAATGTAGAAGTATAGCAAATTTTCGGGTTTCGGGTAGTAAAGAATTTCTGGTATCCAATAAGAACTGTATGGTTACTGAACTTATTTATCTTCGTATGGCACGCATATGATTGCATTATTTCTCTGTTGATAGCTGCCTCCGAGATGTAAAGTGATCTGAATCCTCGATGTGTTTGGGCAATCTCGTGTAACTATGAAGCTTAAGAAGCGCACTGCTAAAGTGACCTTTAAGTTTTTGAGGGAGAAAACTTTTCGAGCGCGCCGAAACTCGCAGCAACCCGCTGATCCCCAAAGAGGCTGCCGGCAGATTCAGGCGGTCTAGACATCAACACCTGGGAGCTATTCTTCAGGTTGTAAGATAGGAACACTTATCCTCAAAAATGATGTGATCATATCATATGCTTTTCTCACACGTTATAGTAGTTATTCCTGAAGAAAATAGAGTAGAGGGGAGTAAAAAGTTCTTGTGCAGGGTTACTAAATTACGTAGTGAGTAATGTGCAATAAAATAAAAAACACTAATTAACTATTTTTAATTAAACTAACCAAATATCGAACTTAACTGAAATGTCATTCGCGGTTCCGTAACTAAATTTGTTAGCGCTGGATAGTGTTTTTTTTCTACATTCGCTATATAATTAGAGCTTTTCAACACTCAAGTAAAGATTATATTATATACAATACACCTACCTTTTCTACTAGTTGTATAAATGGTTATTATAATTTAGAATATGGAGGATGTAAAAAAACAGGTACTGATTCGAGAGAGAGGATTTAAGTTCTCGGAAGAAAGAAGTATTAATTGAATTCTTACAATACCATTCAGTCACAAAGTGGAAAATTTAGTAATAACTTTACTTTTAAAAGTGCTAAATTACAAGACATGTAAAGAAAATGTCTGAAGTTGCTTCTTTCTGTTTACCTATATTCTAGTTGTCCAGTTTAAAAACAACATATCAAATTTAATTTGACTAAATAAACTAGCTATTTAACTTCAGCTTTTATTAAAATTTACCATATCTCTATATCAAAACATTTACATATTTTTATACTAAACCAATTCTTTATTAATCCGAAAATATTTAACAAAATTCGCATTTGCTGAACGAAATGGATCTTCCCTTTTTCTAAATGGTCTTCTGATTTCTGCCTGCTCCCCGGCATCTTGTAAATCACCCAGCACACGTATATTATTCATGACATTTATTTAATACACCATAGAGAACCAAACTTACATATGTATCACCTGAGAGGTTATTTTTTTATTTATCTATCTACCATTATGACCAGTATCATAACGATACTGGATTTCAAAAGTGTTTAGTATTATCTTCTCGAAAGGGAGTTTATAATTTTTATCATCTACACCTTAATTTATACGTGGGAACTTAGAAATGTTGCACGTTCAGAGAATGAATTCCAGACACTTACCGTACGTCGCTCATGTACAAGGTAATCCAGAGGTTGGTTGTATAGGGTGATACTTAAGTTGGAAGAACAAGAAAACACCAAAACTTTCCAGGACGGGTTTTAATAACAATAAAAACAAAACGAACAAACAAAATAACGGTAACACTGTAGACTCGAACAAACATTATTAATTCATTTACACGCGACAGCGAACCGAGATTCAAGGAATACGAGATCCGTAGCAAAATTTGGAAAGACTTTATCCATTATTAAATTAACCCGAGACTCTAAAACTAAGTAGACTGCTCGGTGTGGAACCCAAGGAAAAACTGCCCTTATTTGGAGATCTCTCCTGAATTCGACACCTCGCTTCGACACGCCCATTTCTTGGGTTCCGAAGTTTCGGTTCTTATCTTACTGGCGGGGTTCCTGAATATCGGGACGCTTTGGCATAACATACCATGTTAATAGTTACCTAATTGACTGAATTTACAATTGTATAAATAATTTTGAGACTAAATTAACTTACAAGTAACCCTACACCTTCCTCTTGTGACTCCATACAGCAACACGGGACGGATTAGTAAATCTCATTTAATCTATTCTTATAGCTTGGAAAATCCGCATAAAAATCAGCTATTTGATCTATTATTATTTTTCTCACAACATTCTAACAACTTATTTAAATATCTTGGAATTCCTACGTCTTTTCGAATGTACTTCGCGCGTTATTAGAAATATCGATTTTTCCCTTCACCATGGGCTGAACCGACGCAGTTAGTCGAATACCAGATGCCCGACACATGGCCCCAACGATTTAAGTCTACTTGTTCAAAAACATGCTAAATTTCATGAGGCCTTCTCCGAAGGACGGCTTTGCAAAAGGCACTAGTCTCTCGACGACTTTAAGGCGACGCTAAACGTACTTGAAAACCCTTAACTTTCCGATAATTATTGTTAACTGAAATATTTTACTGTCTGAGTTGGTCCATCCGTTCCGAGAACTAACAAACACGTCCCGGTTTTTGTTACATATGTATAACGGTCCCAGCCGGAGGGACCCAGCCAGGAACGAGTCCTCTATGTGGCGTCCGGACCAACAGTGATGGCGTGGGTATAGAGCTGTAGTCCAGTTGAACCCCGCCTCATCATTTTTCCTGTGTCTAACATTAAAAAGTCCTTAATGCTAGTTTGTAAAAAAATTTCTTTAAACACCTTGAAAATCAGACCAGTTTACAATTTACTCTTTTTTTGAGATTACATATTTATTTACAAAAAAAAAATCGCTGAATTTGAGCTAATTACTCCACTGGTCTTTTAAAATGATATTGATAATATTTATATTGTTTATATATGGCCGATGTTTATAATTAAATTTATCAGTTAACTTTTAGTTGGAATAAATAAAATATGAAAAACATTTAAAGAAGGCATAAATAACAGAAAATTCTAATTTTATACACATTCGAAATTGTAGTTCGGTTAGGATAGTTGGTGTAAAGATATTATAACTAAGGTAAGCACGTATATTTTTCATCTATGTCTTATAGATGACACTTATTTTACAATAAGTAACTATTTTATAAGCAATATTATGTGCTTGATTTTTATTATACATGTATGGATAAGGCACTATTTTCTTCGTTACTAAGAAATAAGAAATTTTATATTCAATATTATTGGCAAATCACACAATCTTTCTTGTTGTAATACCAAAGTATGTAATATCTAAATACAAGTTACTAATATTTATAATTTCATTAATTAAAGCATGGAAAAATCGATATTTTTCCTATTTCCTCTACTACTATTCGGAATAGTAGCAGCAGCTCCAAGAGATACTAGCTATGTAGTGTCTTCAACTGAACCATCTAGCAATGGTGGAAAAGAGGTATGTAGATAGATTTGACAAATTTAGTTAGTTGCTAAGAATTAAAAGACATGTCAAATAAAAACAATTTCTGCATGAAGTAAATGTGTAGATTATTAAATATCTCAGTTTTAATTAATAATAATTTAATTAAATTTGCTTTTAATGAGATTTGATCAATTACTCGCTCCAAAGAGAAAATTAAAGAAAATGTTTTGGAATTTTTATAAATTTTCAAAACAAGTTTTCAATTTGAATTTTATTATCTTTCTTCAACACAATATTTGTTGATGTCAAATCAATAAAATATAAAACAAACATTAATTTTAAAAATGAGAAGTTACTAATTATTACAATTTTTTAGGGTACTACGAGCAAAAACTTAAATCAACATCCAGAAATATACGAAATGGATATATCATCAAACATTTCCAATCGTTTCGCAAAAACTCTAGTAGTAAGCAAAGTGAGAAATGAAGGCATAGTGGCGAAAGAAACAACCTTCACCGTCGTATTACCAGATAAAGCATTTATTTCTGAGTTTGTTATGGAATCTGGTGGAAAAAGTTATAAAGCCTACATAAAAGGAAAAGAGGAGGCGAAACAAATTTATAATGAGGTTTGTTTGATTATTAGTAATTTATACTACGAACGTCAGATTGTGTTCTGTTTGTAACTTAAATTTTCGAAGGAATCCCACATAATCAATTTTACTACAAAACAGCGCAACTTATAAAAATGATCTACCTTCTGTCGTGCAGCGAGCGAGCTATAATAAATAAGCAGTTCCGGCCGCAATTCACTTAAGAGATGGTGTGGGTAAAGAGCGATAGTCCCGCTCGACCTCACCCCATCCGAGGTCATTTTTCTTTTTCCTAGTGCGTGCGCGTGCACAGTTAAGTTAGTTAGTGCGCAGAAGCGATTCAGGACAGTCGCCGGACTTATTCGACGGCGACGGAGAAGGAGCACACTTAACTATAAATTGTCTAAAATATTTATAATTTTTGGTTCATATTTCATTGCTCTCTCTGGAATGGTTTTGGAGGTATCTGGAAAAAATACTTTCAAGGACTAATCTTTAAGGGGTATTTTTTAAGTAATTCGGGACACTCCGTACATTAGACACGATTTAGCGATCGAAATTATAAGCGAGACATGACCAAAATTAACAAAAAAAGTGGGTGTAAATGTAACAGTCGATATAATGTTTACACACTAATCTAATAACGTTCTGCTGAAGCCGAAAATGGTTAAAGATTGACTAGATATTAAAAAAATATATTTTTTTTTCGGAGACTAGCAACTTTATGTTACATGCAAAAATGTCTGAAGTTTTTTGTGACGTTATTTCATTTTATGCTACTATCTGAAAAGGAATCAAACTGGGAGGTTTTTACTATGTTATTTTTTGAGATACAAAGAACCTTACTTTTACAGTGAAGGTTTGGAAAAATTAATCATTTTTTGTCATTAAAATTTCTTTTTTAATTAGATTTATTAGTTCAAATTTGTTGTCTGCTTTCATAATCCTCTTTCGTACATGTCTAAAAAAAATTACAAATCAGAGTTATATAACCTCTTTACGTGTTCTCACATACTTTCGTATCCAACAGAAATTCAGTTACGTCATTGTGTGAGGGAAATGGCAATATGATGAACGTGAGACCCAGCCAAGTGTGTGCTAGCTGCTAATGTGTAGACGCTCTATTTTCATTAATTAATTTGAGGAGAATTTGCACTACTACTAGGTGTACCGGGTGGTTCATATTGGTCGGTTTTGAAGGGTTACTGCGAATCTTTCATAGATAAAGCAAATCTGATTACAAGATCAGAGCTCTTTTATCGAGAAAATAACAATGGCGCTATCTGCATCTCTCTATCTGTTAGATATTTTCGATTTTTAGCCCGACCAGTGTCCTTTTCTGGTTTCCATTTCAAGATATCTCAAAACGGTTTGAACGTTCTATAAATACTTTTTGAGATATATTCCACAGCACAAAGATAAATGTGACAATATTCTTAATTTTTGTAATATGACCACAACTTGTGTTTTTTTATATGGAATACCATGTATTTTATTTAAAAAATCGGAAAGAGGGCTATATATGCATTCCAAAAGTATATACCTTTCTCATTACTTTTTGTATATATTTGCGGAAAATATAAATTTTCAAAATACCAACGATATTTAAGTTTTCTGACTGAGAAGACTTTGAAGTTTAACGTTTAATATTATTAGAAGCATGTTAACACAAATCAAAAATAGACAAATACAATTTAACAAAATGTTTTAATCTAAGAAATCAAAATGCATGTAGTAAAATTAACAATAATATAATATAATATCACATAAAGTCATTCCATTTCAACGTATCCACAGAAGTCACGACCAAGCTAGATAATTTCCTAAAGACTTACATTAAATTAACTTGAATACTTTTATTGGTTCTTACACTAAACCAGTAAACAAAATTTACAGTAAGGCTAATCGGGAATAGTAAGAAATGATACTCTAAGACAGATCCTAACTATATCAACTAGATAAATAGAAGTAAATAGTGGTAGTAAGTATGAATAGCAATGGCGTACAATTCGAATAAAAATTCTTAACGAAATTTCCTGTATAGTTTGCATTAACTTTTGTTGTAGAATAGTGACAAAACACTATACACTTTTTTATGCGAACACCCCATAAAACTTTGACAATTAGAAAAATATTTGTATTTTAAGTGCAATTTCATACTGAATTTTATACGGCTCTAAAACCCACTCATAATTTTAGAAAATACTATTTGCAATATAATCCATAGTAATGAACCAAATCTCCTCTTATACTATTTCTTTCTTTGTTAATCCTAATAAATTATTTATAGATAGTAAACGTATTCTTTCATTTCAGGCGGTCGCTAGTGGACAAAGTGCAGGGCACGTTGCCGTAAGTACTAGGAACTCTAAAAAGTTCACAGTATCGGTGAACGTAGAACCAGAGTCAAAAGTTGTATTCCTGCTAACATATGAAGAACTGTTGGACCGTAGAAACGATCAGTATGAATTAATTGTTAACATTCATCCTGGCCAAATTGTAAAAGATTTGAATGTGAAGGTAAGTGCACACAAAAGAAACGTAATTTTTTCATACATTTATAATTTACTTTAAGGTACAAATAAATGAGAGTAGGCCGCTAAAATTCGTTAGAACTCCCTCTTTGAGGTCTGGAAACGAAATCAGTAAGAACGAAGATAAATTGAATCCATCTTCTCAATTAGAGATAATAAATTCTACATCAGCTGTAGTTAAATTTAATCCGGATTCAGAAGACCAAAGACAATTTGCTCGTTATCTTGGGGATAAGGAATCGAGTGGCTTATCTGGACAATTTGTCGTTCAATATGATGTAGAGAGAGATCCACACGGTGGAGAGGTAAGAGTTGAATTATAAATTTAAGTTTTATTCTATTCCGATAAAAGTAAATAAGTTTTTCGTCGATAGACATTAAAGACGCAGTTTTAGTGACAACTGTTAGGCATTAAAGTTTCACAGTTACTGCCTATTCGTTAGAATTATTTTTACTCCCGCTAAATTAAAAATTAAAATTTGTTCTTTAACGAAAGTAATTTTATTGATTGTAAACATGTACCTATAGTAAAATTAGAACAGCATGTAGGGTATATCCCTTGCCCTATTTGTTTTGAAACAATTCCTTCGTCTATGTAGTTTGAACTGTTTTCACTAGTAGATGGCTTATGAACTATTGAAGTCGTTGGACTATTTAAAAACTTAATGTACCTACTTGCAGTAGGGAATTTTTTTTGATAAATACTGATTTATGAGTTATGGACTCCTCAATGTAGCCTTCAGCTACCGTTGAAGATTTCCATCCACCATGCATTTTTAAAGTTGTAGTATAAGCTCTTGAATTTATTAATAATGTAGGTAATTAAAGTTCTACGGAAACAATGTCCGGTATGTTCATGAACATCCTTTAATTTGAGAAACGCAGCAACTTGTTTTGGCATCTTACCAAATGTATGAATTCCTATTAATTGGTTTATGCTTTACTATTTGAGTATTTAAAAAAAAAACTATTTATGTACCTTGAGACAAAATAATATCTCGGATGGACTCGCTTATTTCGGAAAAAGTTTCGGACAAAAATTGTGGGGCACCGAGGGGGCCATTAAAAGGTCCATATTACGACTGTTTACCACGGATTTCGATTTAACCCATATTTTGGCCATAAAAAACAAAAAAGAACGAGAATCTTGAGATAACGGAGTAGGTACCTTGTTGGGATCACTTTTTTTTTAACGTTTCATACAAAAGTTATAGGGAGTAAAGGAGACTATCTTGACAAGACCTTGAAAATGACCTTGACCTTGACTTCAAGGTCGTTTGAAAATCAAATCACACTTCAGTCTTCAGCAAATCATAAAAATTAATAAAGATCTATTTTATTTTCCTTTGTTGTAGGTGCTACTTCAAGATGGATATTTTGTACATTTCTTTGCCCCAACTGACTTGGAACCATTACCGAAACATGTTCTACTCGTGCTAGATACGAGTAGTAGTATGAGTGGCAGGAAAATTGAACAGGTGAAAGATGCTTTAAAAAGCATACTAAATGAATTAAGAGAGCAGGACATATTAAGTATAATAGATTTTGGTAGTTCTGTTTCCGTGTGGAATGTAGCTCAGGAACAAAGAACACCAATAGATTATGGATATGGCTTTAATTATGAGGAACCATTTAGTAAATTAAGTGTAAGTATTTCCATATTGCTTCTACTTGAAATATTAATCATAATAATATAATTAATATATCTCTATGTGTAGAAGACACTAAATCTAATTTTGCATATATTATTGTAGAAAGAAGAGTTTCCAGCTGCTTTAACCGCTGACAATCAAACCTTAATTAAAGCAAACCGAGTCATAGATAGTCTTCGGGCTTATGGTATGACCAACATAATTGGTGGTCTGGAAGCAGCTTTATATTTGGCAAAAGTAAGACAAGATCATCCCTCTGATAAAAAGTATCAGCCCGTCATTATATTTTTAACCGACGGTGATCCAAACGTTGGTGTATATTCGACACAAACAATTACGAATATTGTAAGCAAAATAAAATGCAAAGAAACATTTTTATTTTTCGAATCTTTTTAGGTTACACGATTGAATACTGAATCCAAAATTCCTATATATTCTTTATCGTTCGGGGAAGACGCCGACAAAGAATTTTTAAGAAAATTGTCTTTAAAGAACCAGGGATTCGCCAGACACATATATGAAGCGGCCGACGCCTCTTTGCAAATACAAGAGTTTTATAAGCAAGTTTCATCTCCATTGTTGTCCAACATTACATTTAAATATAACGCCGAAGTCAAGGAAGTCACTAAAACAAAATTCCCCATCTACTTCAAAGGATCGGAAATTGTTGTTTCTGGACGATATGACAGTAAGAAAATGTATATACAGGGTGTTTCTCCAATATTTAAAAAACTTTAAGGAACAATTCTTTGCCGTAAAATAAAGTGTGCATTCTACAGGGTGAGTTGTGAGGATCGCACCAAACTCCACGAGTGGATTCTACAAGTCAAAAACAGAAAAAACTCAAATGTTCTTATGCGATTTTCATTTCAAATTATAGCGCAATTACAAATTTTAAAAATTTGAATCAGAGTATGTCATGTTCCGAGTCAAAAGTAGAGTAATTAGCAGTGTCATTTTATCTTGCAATAATTTAACAATTGAGTACATGTTTGCACGATCAAAGTGTTACAAAATGCCAAGAACTTACTCAAATTTATGCGTACGCAAATATGGTGTTTGCTTATGGTTTCTGTAATGGCAATGCTAATGCTGCTGATGAAGAATATCCTCAACGGTTTCCACATCACAGATATCCTTATAAAAATATATCAACAAACTGTATGAAGCCGGAAAGCTTCCCAGTGATAGGACAACATCTGAAAGTTCATCGACAAGGTTTGGAAAAAGTAAAAAATATTCTGGGTTCAGTAGAAGATGATGCAACCAGCTCACGAAGAATTGCTAATCAATTGGGTATTCCACAAAAAAGAGTAATAAAAACCCTCCACGAACAAGACATACTTTTTACCATGTACAAAGTGTACAAGACCTACAACCGGAAGAGTATGCTAAGTGTATCGAGTTTTGTCGATGAGTCAATAATAATTTTATTGTATCCCACTTAGTTTTTACGGATGAAGCAACATTCACCCGTGACGACATAACTAATACTCGGTACTCTTATGTATGGTCAAACAATCCTCATGCAACACTCGAAAGTAATTTTCGGCATAGGTTTTCGGTAAACGTGTGGTGTGGTATAATCGATAGTTGGACCTTTCATTTTGGAGAATCGACTCACAAGAGACCACTACTTAAATCTTTTACAAAATGAATCCTATAAACACGAAAATGCGAATGTACTATCAGTACGATGGAACTCCTGCACATTTCGCTTGTTCAGTCAAGCTACATTTGAACAAAAAGTTTCCAGAACTTTGGATTGGCCGCAGTGGTCCTATTAGTTAGCCTCCAAGATCTCCAGACCTCCAGCACTAGATTACTGATTATGGGGCTGGTTCAAAAATGAGGTGTACAAAGTTAGAGTGAACACTCGGAAGGCGTATCATCAATACTGCAGCACTTATTAAAGAAAAACATGTAGCAAACTTGAAAACAAATGAAAATCACATAACAATATTTAAGTTTTTCCTTATTAATTTGGCGTGTGGAATTCATTCCTGAAGTTTGGTGCGATTCTCCTGATTCACTCTGCATATAAACTTATTTCTAAAAGCGTCTGCTATCAGATATACAGGGTGTCTCTCATAAGAACCGACACAGGGCAGATGCATGTAGGAGTGTCCAAAACATTGTAATTTAACCAAACTTACCTATATACAAAGTTGCACCCCTGAGAAGTTATTAGCCCCCAAAGTGGAGCCTTAAAATTAAAAAATAATAATATCTCTGCAACACTTTTCCGTAGAAGAACCAAATTTGGTACATGATTTAGGTTTATTACTGGTCTTTTTTGACTATGATTTAAAGTAGATTGAAGCACTACAAAGTGTTCATTGGGGATGACCCACTCTCAAAATTGTACCGAACTTTTTTTTCATTGACCGAATTGACAAATAGTAATATTAATTCACAGCATTAATTTAAAAAAAAATTTTTACTCGTGTTAAATTTTAAAAAGCTTTATGGTTTTCAAGAAAAAACCGTATTAACTGACAGAAGATTTTAACAGTGTTCATTAGAAAATAATAAAAAAGTCAGTAGCAGGGTTTATCTTTCAAATTTGACAATTGGCTAAATAAATTTTATTTCACTTCTCTCCTAATTCTACAAAAAGAAAACAAGTACCTAGGTAGTTTTTAAATAAACGAATATTGTATGTATTAAGTAAAAAACACAAATAAATAATAAAAATAATAATTGATATTTTTTCAACAACAATCAGAGGCAATTGTTGAAATAAAATAATTTTATTTCTAACTGACAAGTTTGAAAGATAAATTCATTGCCTACTATTGACTTCTACGGTAGTGTTGCAGATATTAATTTTTTTGGAAATTTAGGACTCCACTTTGGGGGCTAATAACTCCTCGGGGATGCAACTTTGTATGTTGTATTGTTATGAAAGTTCATTATGGCATTTCTAGAAAAGTATTGTTAACTCCGTCGGCAGAGTATTTGTGCAAAAATTCGAGGATTGTGCCCTATTCTTTCTTGCGTCCATCGACACACAGCTACTATGCGTGAAAATCATCAAATCAACGGGCGAAAGTATAAGCTGAATATGATAGATAATTTTTAAAACTGTTGGATGGCTAATATTTAATGCGTGAGCAATCTTGTTGTAGGGTTATCCTCAATTTCGTTAAGTATTTGAAAATTTGAGGAGTAACTGTTTGAGGATGTCCATTTTTGTGGTACGCTTTTTAAAACTACAAATTTCACTAATTGTAAGACATGGATAACCTTTTTCATAAAGGTATAGTGTTGCTGTTAGGAATACCGTAAACAAAGTGCATTTCGTTCATTTCACTACTTGTGTAGTTTATCATTTTAAGGATTGTTAGTTGTACACGAAAACACTTGTATTAAATGACTTGAGAGACAACTGTTGACAGCAATACATTATTTTCGCACATTCATGATAGACAATTATTATGAATAAAATAATGTGGTAAAAAAATTAAGCATGCAGTCTCATCTGAAAAAAAAAAAAAAAAAAAATCTTATATAAGGCTATTTTTAGTGTTCCTTTTTTATAATGCACACGTATTTCATTTTTTACTAGAAAACGAAACGTTTTTGTGAAAGAATACAAGTAAGAATGATATTTTTTTAAATTGCAAATTTTCAACTCCGTACAACAAAACATACAATGAGGAAACCATTCAGTTTTAAAATATTCAAACTTTTTGTTGTCGAGAGAGAGGTTGAAAATTTATTTTCTCCACTTCTTTTCTTCTTGTTAAAGATATTGGTGTAGAAAAGCCTTTGATAAGAAAAAATAATATACCAAATTAAAGAAGTATATAAAATTAATGAAGTATAACTCTGATGGCAAACGTTTTTAGAAATAAGTGCATATATATATATATTTATATATATATATAGAAGATCCCTCCTTTATTTTATATATTCTTAGATCTTTCTATTTAACACATGACGATAAAGGAAGTATAAGTACTTTAACATCTTAGATTTGGAGTCACATCTTAACATTGCAAGACCAGTAGATTGTTGGGCTACTGAACCAAAAGTGCTACCACCAACGGTAGAGAGGTCAGTGACGTCATTGGAACGACTTTGGGCCTACTTAACTGTGAAGCAGTTGCTAGATGAGAGAGAATTAGCGGAAAATAAAACGGAGCTGACGAAAAAGGCTTTAGATCTTGCACTCAAATATTCCTTTGTGACAGACATTACATCTCTTGTTGTCGTCAAACCAAATGAAACCACCAGAGTTAGTACGGAGGACGCTTATAGAGGTAATATTACTATATTCAAGAATTTCATTTCACTATAAATCGTTTTGTTTTGCTTTCTTATTGCAGTGTCTAAAATATAACTGTTCTTCAATTACTAATTTGAAAAGAATATTTCTAAATTATTGTTTATTTCTTTCTAGCCCAAACAGGCGACATTAGTGATCGGACTTCTACAGTGCAGCAGAGTTACTATCGCTCTTCTGGTAAGTTGTCACCATAATTTATTAAAAAATATATTGGTAGGTACTTGTATTTTTTTTCTAAAAAATACAACGCTGACGAGTAAAAATTACGGATTAAATTATAATGTTTGATACTATTTTCTTTAAAGAAATATTTGAAAATTAAAGAAAATGCTTGTAGAAGCCAACTTGTAAAAGCCCAATTACTTAAGATACCTGACGTTCGACGTTCAGGGTTACAGAACACTGTTATATTCACTGTATTAGATCCGACTTTCAGTGCTGTCTTAAAAACTAAGCCCTTACGTATATATCTAATTAAACAATGATTTAATATCTCTATCAGATTGATTATTTTAAAATATTTAACAATTTTATTCGAACTAACTCCAGAATAATCAACAGTAATTTGGTTTGTCAAGTATCTTATTTCTTTCTTGGAACATCATGTGAATGAATCGATTTTGTCTATTCAATATTTTTATTTTAATAATCCAGATATACTAAGATCCTATTTTATTATTCTCTTTTAACTCAATTATACAAGTTGTTACACTACTGGAAAAAATGAAGGGAACAAAAAAAAATCAAATATGTATATGTATTTTAATGATTTTTGACAGGCTATATCCCTGTTCCCTGCGAAAAGAAAATATCATCTCGAGATAGAAAAAAAGCTTTAGTTTCAAGACCGTTCGACAAAAAAAATTGAATTCCAGTTATTGCGCAATCATAGGAAATAGCGCGAAGAAAAAAAATCCAAATTTATTTATTATTTTTAACGGTCTATGGGTTCATGAAAATTTTTCCACTTATCGTTAGACTGATGGATAGGTCAGTTACCTTGATTATTCAGCTTTAGTTTTTTTTTTTTTGGTCTTTGTACGACAATTTTTTGTTAAGATATCCGCCTTTAAATGAAAAAGGATCCTGTTCTATTTGATTATTAATATATCTCAGTAACTAATGACCGTGTAGTAAATTTTATGGTTTTTGAAGAACACAATATTTTTCGTCTTTAACAATTTGACTTTTTACGTTTTTTTATACAGTCTACCGCTAATTTAGAAATATTGATGAAAAGACTAATGTGAATTGACAAGTTGATCTTTTGAGTTGTTTTTCTATTCCAAACGATCAGAATTTTGGAAAGAATTAAAAGAAATACATTTATTGCGTACCTAACCACTATCAAAATTAAAAGGGAAAAATTTTTCTCAACTTTTCCCACAATCTTACATTAAATATTGTTTGAATTAAAAAAATAAAAGAAATTCAAAAATATTGTTCTAAAATTTTTCGATTTTTTTGGAAAATTTGCTAGTCGTTTCTGTCATGATTCCAGCTGTTAAAGTACATATTTTTTTGAAACGTCCAGCAACTTTTCCAAAAAAAAAATTAAAAATTATTGAAAAAAGTTTTTATAATGGTTACGTAGTGCTCAGGAGCAACAAACGTGTTCATTTAAATCTTTCCAAAATTTTGATTATTTGGAACAGAAAAATGGCTCGATCAACTTGTCAATTTGCAGGTGAGCTGTAAAAATTTCTCTCAACATTAGTTTTTTCATTAATATTTGTAAATTAGCAGTAGATTTTCTAAAAAAATCGTAAAAAGTAACTTTTTGCAATTTCTTCAAATGTTTCTCTTCAAATTTTGAAAATCGCTCTTAAATTTTCTGTGCTGTCATTATTTACGCAACAGTAACTGAGTTACTGAGCAGTAAACTAATTTGACTTTATCTTTTAGGATTTAGTAGCAGTAACAGAATGTTTTATCAACCTCATTATTCTATGTTAGGTAAATCACTTTCTTTCAAAATAAGTTAACTGAAAAGTGCCAAAACTTCAGCTTTGGGTGCCTAAGATACAGTTGATCGCGTAGTGAAAACAATCATCAAGTGAAAACAAAACAGAGCTCAAACTAGTAAATATGCGCTACTCCCACTCTGTCTTTCACTACTGCGCGACGGTAACCATGACCACCGCTGTAAACACTTTACAATTTAGTGGCGACCTATGAGGTCACGTTCCGTGTCTTTCAAATAAATTTTGCAAGTCGTGTTAAATTGACTACACATTACAAATTTAACATATCCTTTTTATAAATCTAATCTATTTAAATATCTAGATGACATCGTAAACCAAATTTTAAATTAAATCTTTTTACTAATATTCCAAGGGGGCGGCGCCCCAGACCCTCCCCGCACCAACCACCACTGATACTTATATATTATAAATCTAAATAACCTGATTTATCATTGCGTCAAAAATTGGTAATGTAGTGATTTAAAATTTTAAAGAATTTGAAAATATTGTCACCCAAAGTTCTGCAGATTTGGCGCCTATAAACAGAAAATTTTATATTAAATATTTTCAAATTATGTTTTCAGCTTCGCGTGCATATATCTCACCTCGTATTGGTAAGTTTTAAATATCTATTGGTTAACAAATTACACGTTTCTATATAACTGCTATAGAATTTTAAAACAAGAATATTATTTTACTAGTCATATTTTTCTCTATAAGCACTATTCAACACGCAAGACATTAAATTTTTAAAGTAGTACTAAATATTTAATTTTTGCAGGTTCTGCTTATGACTATGGTAAGTTATACTGATATCAATAAAATTATTTTATATATTTCTTAAGAAAGTAGATACTAATAAATATTTAATTTTTGCAGGAGGTAGTTATGGTAAGTTAAATTGATATCAATAAAATTATCTTGTTTATTTGTTAATAAAATAGGTACTAAATATTTCATTTTTCCAGGGAGTGGTATTGCTGACTACGGTAAGTTAAACTGATATAAATAAAATAATCTTGTTTATTTCTTAAATTATCATTTTAACGTACGACATATTTATAGATTTGGTATCAGTGCGATCATTTTCAGCCAGAGGTAAGCTTACACTCATAAAACGTATTTATACTCCCTCTTTTTAAATACCTAACGGTCAATTCTTTGCATCATTTTAACCAAAATAGTTCATTACAATGAAAATTTGATAGTTTTTGAGAAATATAATTGTAATTTTCTTATTACCAAAATGATCTTTATTAAAACTTTATGCATTTTTTATTTAAGTGCACGTACCATGGTAAAAAAAACAAATTTATTTCAATTAATGTTAATGCATGAAGTAACAAACGGCAACTTGACCTCGTTCGAAGGTCTTATTAGCTTTTCTTCGTGCACTATACGGGGGTACGAAAAATACTAACCTCGAATCTCGATATCGCTGTGCTCTGGTCCAAGTTATTGTATGAGGCAGTGTGTGGTGCGCCGTTATGGCCACCTGTCTTTAATTCAATGATTACATTAGCTTGGCACTGTGGTAAATGGATACCTACTAATGGTAGATGCGGAATTCTGTACGGTAAGCCGTACGGCCGGCGTTTATAGTCGCCGTTATCCAAAATGTTCGCTTCCATACAACTTTGGTCTGGTTTATACAGAGTTTTGAATATGAAAAGTGTAGGTATGCTTCTTAGATTTCAAGAAGGTAACTGGCAGCAAATTGGAAGTGTCTACCAAAAGTAGAGCTTTGCCTTTTTATATTCAGAGTACAAGTACTCTTATCTAATGATTTCCCACCTGCGAATAGATGAAATATTTGTCATCTGTTCTGCAAAGCCAAAGAAATCTAATTTTTGTTTTAAATATTCATCAACAGACGAAACCTTTTTCACACAAAATGAAATGATGAACCGTAACCGGCTAGAACAAAGTATTTTAAAAAATGGTCAAATTAATTGTCCCTTAATCTGTCGGCTAGATTAGTAGGTATGAAAGTTGTTACTACAAATATTAAACAGAGAAGATATTTACCGTTAGAGAAGAAATAACTTGCTAGATTTACTAGATATGAAGACTGTTCAAACGCGTTTGGATATGTGGTATTTACATAATAATGGGCTCCGGCACGTATTAGCCGCCCGGTTGTGGAGCACCACAATAAAAATTTTGGAAACAGATCTATTGGAAGATATAGTCCCAATCAGTGATCCGCAATATCTTCTAATCTCAGTGTCTTTGACTTCCTCTTGTGGGAGTTGTAAGTCAACAAGACCATAAGTCCAACATCATGTTTTGTGGCCAACATAGTCTATACTATTGAAATTCGTGATCAAAAATTAAACTGATCTTGCAAAGAATCTACTGTAAAATTTACGGTTTAATCAAAATCGAAATATCGTTTAAAAAATAACTTGTTTATTTAAAATTGTCAATGCATATTACCCTTTTCTAAATTTATAAAATTACAATTTTGCGATTGGATATATATTGTTCTTAATTATCTTTTTATTGGAAATAAATTTATTGTTTTCACTTAACTTATTTTTGTGTCTTTTTCTCTAGGAAAAAGTGCTTGGCCACATCCACCTCCACCTCCACCTACAGCAGCAGCGACAATTTCAGCATCAAAACTATCGAAATTTGTAGATACTTCCACAGAGCTTACATCAACATCCAATCCAAACGCTTTAAGTAAGTTTATCTCATTAATATAGTGTTCCACAACCTCAGGATATTTGTTCCTGTATCATTTTAGACCAAAAAGCTATAAAGAATCCATTAAAATTTAAATCTATTTTAAATAATAATAAAATGCCTAAAAATTCGATAACATAAAATTTTTAGCTCCTAAAAATTGTATATTTCTAAACCATTTGCTTTACTTTTGATCAAATAAATTATTAGAAATTTTAGGGAATAGTTTTGGATTTACTTTGGATTTATTCTACTGTGCCTGTCCGGTTTACTTTAATATAAAAGGATAATTACTGGAAATTTTCTCAGTACATTTTTAAACAAGTATCTTATTTTTTCTAAAGTATTATTAATTATACCATGCACCAAGGTCTAAAACTAAAATGTTTTGTCCTGGAAATCTATTAGTTATTAGTGGTCCCTCATCAGTATCTTCGCTGCAATTAATATTAGCGAACTATATAGTTCGGTAAATTTTCACCTTTAGTTCACTACTAATTGTTAATAAGTACCATATTTTTCAGCACCCTATATTTGGAAAACCATTAATTTCCTGAAGTTATAACTTGAACATAAAAAGCACTGTGTAGATGTCTGTTTTCAAATTTGTTTCCTCTTCTAGACATTTCTTCACCTCCAACACCATCAACAACAACAATACCAAAAGTCGTGGATATACTGCCATGGCTTGCATCAAAATTGAATCCGAATGGATCTTTAATTATAGGTCAAAGTAAGTTTTTCTCACTCAACGCCTGTATGTGAATTATCTAATTTTTAGGATTAATAATCCCAACGTTAAACGTCTTGACAGAAAGAAAATAAAATAAAGTAAGAATATATGTCGAAGGTGACACAGACATACCAGATCCCCGTAGTCTCGTGCTCTGTTGGCTTCTTCACAGGTCGAGAATAAACAGATTGCCACTAGGAAATTGTCTATGCACATATATTAAGCTTATTATAAATCAATTACTGTAAAGCGGAAAGCGTGCAGTGAGAATTTTTGCTGGTCACTTCTCAATGCCGAGAATCGGTCTTGTGCGTGTCACCAAAAAAAGCGTGCAAGCAAAATATTTTTGAGACAATAAATCTTATTTAATAAGTAAGTTGATAGGCAACACGATTTACACTTTATAACTAAGAACATTTATAAAACAACACTGTAGAAGTAAATGTTTTTTTTAATTGAATATTAAGAATATTTTTAATAAAATTATTTCTTAAAAGTGAAACGGGAACCGAAAAAACTACTTGCGAAACACATATTGTTGATGTTCTGCAAGAACAAACAATAGAAAATAAGAACGATTGTTCCAGAAGCGATTCCTTAAGGACTCTATAATTGAATTGCCGATTGTGAGTGTTAAAAGGAATTAACTCCAAAAAACCAAAATGTTGGCAAATTACAAAAAACTAAACTAAAGCTGGATTTGAATTTAGAATAAAATATTATTATGACAGATTGAAAGCAATATATGTGGGGTAATTGTTACATAATGCTTAATTTATTCTTTTGTTTTTTAAAAAATATATTAAAAAAAACACTAGTGGAGTTAGTTCCTTTTAAAACCTAACTGCTATAATTAAAAATAAACTTAAATAATTATTATTATTACTTTCAGAACGGGTGTATTAATGACAAAATTCATTATTTCAACTAATTATCTAAATATTATCTTCTTCCAAATTTGTGGGCCATGTAAGATAAGCTTCATAAAAAAGTTTATGCTGTTCATTTCGTTCTGGGATATATTTCAATAACTTCCTGACAGCATCGACTTTATGCTTATTTATAGGCACTTTTCCTTTGGGGTAAACACTGGACAAAGTATCAAATACTAACACTGGTCTAGGCCCTGGTTGTCTCAAATGAAAAGTGCACTTTACTAAGCTTCCTATAAATTCTGCAGCTTCCAAGTTGCCATTTTGAAGATATTTAAACTCCATGAATGAGGCTGGAGCAAAATATTGTTCTTGTTGCTGCGAAACATTTCTGCCGTAGGACTCGAATCTACTGACAACACGCTCTCGTGAGTTAGGTAGTAAAAGGAACTAACTCCAGGACTTAGTTCCTTTCACGACTCAGTCACACTAATATACTGTAATTTTAAATGCGCCGTTTAATGAGAGTTAGTTCCTTTCTTCACCACCCGATGGGAAATATCAAAAAGTATCGTTTCACGTGTGTAACTCTATATAGCAGATTTTTGGAGTTAGCGCCTTTTAATACTCAGCAATTCAATTCTTCAGTGGTTATAGTTTTGTTTTCATCAATTACTCAAGAACAATAATTGAAGATATAAACATCAAATTCTCACATGAAGTTCTCTCATATACCTACATTTCAAATTTTTTGAAAAATTAACTAAAAAATATATTGTATCTCTTAGACTTTTTTTGAAAATAGAGTAGTAATTTAAATACAAATTCACATTTATTTGAACAAAATCACTTAGTTTTATTCGTTACTAGCTGCTGAAAAGCATCTATTTAAAAAAAAAATTTCAACAATTTCGCTATAGTTCAAATCTCTTAGACCTCTCCTAATTCCCACACCAGCTGCTATGTAGGAATTACACAAATAATATTCAATGGTTCTTGCGAAACTAATCAAAAACCATAATTCACGATGAAAGAAAATCGTGGTTCTTGTTTTTTTGTTTGTTTCTGCTCTGTTTATTGCAATTTCGTATTACATCCCGTATAAATATCGATAATATTAGGTTTATTTTGCATATATTTTGACTCTTAGTATGCATTTTGCGAGATATCTAAAATTACAAATTTTAATCTGTAGATATTTACGATTTGGGAGAGAGTTATCGTCCAATTATAGACCAGGAATGTCCTCAGACACCTCTGAATGCCACACAATCAGGAACATGTTCCACCTTGTCACTTTGCCCAGAAGTTCACTCTTTTTTGACAGATTTCTCCATCTATCAGCAATACTTCTGCTCCATCGAAATAACTGATAAAAAGTAAGTATTTCTATAGTATACCAGCCACAGTCATAATTGTTCATTTTCATAAACACCGGACTAAAAATTAAGCTATGATTTGAACGGTGTGTGTACATTAACTTATATTAGTGATATGGATAATTAATCTAGGTATAGTTGTTTTCCTTTTGCTTGAAAGTATGTTCCATTTGCCAGGCCTTTTAACTAAGATTAAGTTAAAAATTTACTTTCCCTTTCCACTGATTGTGTATTATATATGTATACCTACACAAATTATAAATAACTATAAATTATATTGCATTTCAAAATACATATAAAAAGAATTTTCCAAAATTTGTTTAGAAATTCTCAGACTTAATAACATTTTTTAATGTTTTTTTTCGTATATCTTAACATTCATTTTTTACTTTCAGATACGCTGGAGTGTGCTGCCCACCAAAAAAACAAAAAAATTAACATATGCAACGTGTGAATTATACTTTATGTAAATATATGTATCTGTATATTATGTCAACATTAATAAATTATCAACTATAGGTACAAAGTTGTATTATTCCAATTTTAACTGTTTTATGCTTAAAAAATATAAGTACAGTCCATAAAGCAACACACAAATTTAATAAAAAGAACTTTAATTATTGCTGTTTAAATATCACTGACCTATAAATATAATATAAAAGCAGAACTGAACTAAGAAAAATTGATATATTTTTGTTCCAAGTCACCCTAAGTAAATTGGAATTTTTGCCTAAAAAAAATCCTTAATCATACTCTACTAAAATAATAAGTAATTTTAGTGTTATTCTGTAAATATTATTAGATTACAATACTTTATTAGAAAAATTTAATATGTGGCCTTTTAAACAAGCGACACAGACTGACACTAATAAAGACTGTATGCAATCAACGAAGTAGGCAGCCATTCAGTGCACCAACAGAGCTGCAACGGTAAGTTGAATTACAACCGCGTCTTCTTATTTAAGTCGATATTTGTTTTTATCTCATTAGCTCACAATACACTCTGCTTTTTCCGATATTTTTTGGTCGAGTATAGGATACTTTGGCAATTAGTTTCCGCTTTTTTTACATATCATAAGTTTCTCGATTCTAATTACCGTAAACCGGGGTTACATTGGACATCAGGGTGGGATTGGCCATTTTGTAGTTCCCACTTAAAAAAAACTAATGCGGGTTGTCGGAGGGGATATATCGATTGCGCCGCTGACCACATGTTTAATAAGGTATGTGAAGTTAACGTGGGTGGTCGTCTTTACTTTAATTTTTTTGCGACGATTGATTTTGAGTATTGTCTAATAGGTAAGAAATGTTTATACTTTTAAGAACCGATAATCTTTATACTACAGTCATGTAGTACTAATGACTGAAGTATAAATTGTATAAAAATAATATAACCTATAGATCCTGCTATTAGGTTGTGCAAGTTTCAAATTTTTATCTTTTATGATTTTTGTATAATTAAAAAAAAATTGTCGACATTTTTTAGGGGCGAGATTGGCCATGGTGCAAAAATATAAAAAACGTTAGGAACCAGGCCCTATGCGAATTACCAACTAAAATATATGGATGAAGAAATTCAACAGGTCCAGCATATGGAAAATTCGTCGTGGGTAATAAGAGCAATCATTTAAAATTTGTTGCCAAAGATTTATAATGCACATCTCACCTCTCAAAATACAAATGTAAAAATTAAACCAGATTTTGAGATCTATAGATACAAAAAATGACACATTTATTTATCCTGTAGCTTACTATATATCTTAATATCGCTACAGTTGATATGGAACAAATTGTATAAAAATTAGAGAATCCTAAGGAACTAAGAAGGGAACACTTCAGATTTAATAATCTGTTTTTAACTGCCTTATTAAGGTGATGTTAGGATAAACCCTAAAATTTTATAGTTTTTTATAGAACATATTTATTTTTTTTATATTTATTTAGGCAAACACAGTGTCATGTTGTCTTCATATGCTTATGTTATGATGAAAATAAATATTTTAACATATAAACAACTGTTTTTTTTTCTATGTACATTCTGACATAATATATTTTTTTAAAACTAAATTATTGTCCTATCTTACTCTTTAGTCATGTTGACTTCAAAATATATGGCGTTTAAACAGCTATCCAAACTCGCCCCGATGTGCGGGGCGAGTTGGGACAACAAAAATCCAAAAAAATATACATTTCAGCATCATCAATTGTAAAATTTCATGATGTCTATGTATTCGTTATGTGTCAATTGCAATGCACAAAAAGCAAAGAAATAATAAAAACTATTATTCACGAAAATATTGACGTTTTTACCTCAAAATTGTCCAATGTCACCCCGGTTTACGGTACCTAATTAGATATTTCCATTTTGTCTCACTTTACAATTCACAAAGTTTTTCATTACAATAATCTTAATTGCATTGAATTCATTGATAATATTAGTTTATTTGGGTATTTTTAAACAAATTCAAATTCAATAAATCTAATTTTATAATTACTTAGTACTTTTTCAAGTTTGCATTGTTTTTCTATGCCTTTTTACAATTCGCCAGGCAATACAATATTAGTACGGTCGTTTACCATAACAATTAATAGATTATATTTTATATAACTATAAACAATGCAGATCAATTCTACTACAAGCACAGTATTTTATTGTTATTGATACATATTAGTCCTGTTGCATAATTTGTCAACTAGTGGTAGACCAATTTATTGAGTATTTATTTCCTTTTTTAAATTTAGAAATTCATATTCAAGATATTACTGGAAAACTTTAATCAATTGATTGGATTTTTATGAAATTACTTTCGATTTATGCTTACCATCAAAATTTGGATGTCAAACATGTCAAGCAAGGCACCATTTTGTTGGGGATACTACAGTTACACCATCTTCCAATATCCTCTTCACTCCTCTCAAAAAAAAAAAACAAAGAATACAAGTATGTATATACTTATACTTTTATTTTACTATTTTTATTATTTAAAATATTTACTTACATTGTATAAACAAATAAAATAAGACATTATCAATAATGCTGCTTAAAAATATACAATTAGTGATACTTTCTAACATATATTTACATACACCTGTTTTGAAACTTTTCATAAAATGATCATTCAAGGAAAATTGGTCACTCCCTGTATATTAGTTATTTTAGCTGAACATTTAATATTATATTTCATATCAATATTCATTAAACTCTTTTTTATTCCCATAGAGAAATTGTCATTGTTTCAAAATGTAAAACTAGCGGGAAAACTAGACTTTAGTGCTTTCACTGTTATAGGTACAGAAGGAATAATAAAGTTTATGGAAATCTCATAATTTAACTTTTGACTCGTTTAATATGAAGGAGCAACAATGGCGTACTGACAAACTTTCTGAGATGATTCACTTCAAAATAAACACAAAAATTAAAGTAACTTTTTCCCCCAAATCATTTCCTAGAGGTTTTGTGATCCTTCAAAGATTTAGAACAGTTTTGAAAGGATTTTGAAAAAAAAAAACGTTGAAGATATATAGACTTTAAATATGGTATAGTGCAGTTTTCTACATGTAAATTTTGATTAAATACTAATTAGTGCTGTCCAAATTAGAATGGGCCCCAGAAGTTCTAAATGCTAAAAAAAATTGTTTCGACATTAAACATAATCTACAAATTTAGATAACTTTCAGATCTTTTGCCCTCGAGTTTATTTTTAGTATGAGAATATTTTTAGCAGCGGAATATTGGTGAATATCAAAATAAAATAAGGCTTTGCATATATTCACATTTGTTTGAATGAATTAATTTTGTTATGGTTTTTTGACTTTTACTTGTACACTATTCATTCTACAAAAAAAAAAACTTAAACCATACAAACATGTTATTGAAAATGGCCCATCAATCCAAAATTCTCTAGAGTTAAATCACTTTTTCAGACATAATGATAATGATAATGATAATGATAATGATAATGATAATGATAATGATAATGATAATGATAATCATAATGATAATAATAATGATAATAATGATGATAATGATCATAATGATAATAATGATAAT